AAAGACATAATAATTTATTCCTAAAGAATCGTTATCCGTCCGGCAAAGGATACACTGTAGCGTCTCTGTTAATAAGTACAAAAACGTCTCCTGATTGTCAAGTAGTGAAAAAATATACTTGGCGGGAGACGCTACCGCGTCTCCTGATATGTCAAGATTTAAATTTTCGAAGGTTCCCTAAAGTGAATAATTATTGTTAATTTTTATAACTTTTTTAATAATAACTTTTATTTATAACTTTTTAACAAAGGACGAGCGACGGCTAAAACCTTTTGATTACTCAGGGTCATGACCTTGACAACGTATGTCAAGGTTAAGGAAGAGGCTCCCCTATTCGGCAGTTTTATCACAAAGAGATTCTTTCTTTTTTCCAAGGATTTGTTACATTTTCTAGTTGTTTATCAATATATTCGTTTAATAAAGCTCTGATTCTAGTTGATATCATTTATCTATAAAGAGGAAAAACGCCCTATCAACTAAATCTATAATCGTGCCACTCTTTTAAGAGAGAGAGTGCTGTGAATGAAAATTTAGATATTTATCAGAAAAAATTGATTTGTGATACTACTCGAATTTAATTATGTTATTATTATTGATCAAGATAGTATTTAAAAAGTTTATTTTATCCCCGCCAGAAAATTTGAGTATGTTGTCTACATTTTACTAGATAACTAATTACTTTTTGTATTCTATTTTTGAGACGATATCGACGAGAATCAAGTCAGATTTGAAATGCAATCATAAATTAAAGTTGGAATAACAAAATCACAAATTAAATTCATTTTGTTAATGTAATAATAATAATAATGCATCTTGAAGCATAAAAAATATCGTCTTGAAATATTAAAGAATTTATTGCAAAATATATTACCCCAGCCAGCGTTTGAATCTCTAGGGCAAACATCTTCAAGTTTTAATATTCCAAAAATACAAGAAAATTTGTTGTGTTACGTACTTTGAATTCAGTCAGCTATGTTTCAAGATCGACAAATATTCAGCGCGCAGTTTGTTTAAACTGAAAATTGTAAAATATTATTAATATAAATAATAAGATCTGCTTTTGGTTATATTTGGCATTAATTTGATTATATTTCTTGTTATACAATTAATTGTTTGAACTTTTTACAGTCAATTTTTATACTTATGTTTAAATTATATATTATACATTATTTTTTATTTATTAATTGCTATTGAATTGATTAGTGTAGTTTTTTTGTTACTTTTATAGAAAAACAGTATTAAATAATATAATGTGTATAATTAAAACAATTTCTGCTTCTTTTAATTAGTTTTTCTAATAGGCGTATGTATTTGCTATCTCTTTCGTCTTTTTTCGAAAAAATAATTTTTTAAGACAGAAATATTAATTTAATTGAAAGTATTCAAACGTAGTACAATTCATAATACCGAGTAAATCAACACTTATTAAGATCAAGATTACTTTGACTATTTATTATAAAATGTTTTAATTAAAAGCATGTTTGTATTTGCGAGATAAATTGAGAAGTCTTAAACTCTTTTTTTATTTTGAAAAATAGAATACATGAACAATTTTGTGATAATTCTTTAAATTTATTCCATATTTATTATAAAGTACAGCATTAATTACATTAACTATCACAATTATTGATAAGGTATCAATTTAAGAAATAACATATGACAAATGTTTATTAAGATGTTTGGGATTATTCCAGCCAGATATGTAAATCGTTCATACAAGTGCACAATATTTAACCTGAAACATTGTAAATATTGAAACATGATTTATAAATTTAAATTGAAGTATAATATTATCGTTTTACAATAAGTCTTTAATGAGGAGCTATAAAATGTGTTTTCTTTTTCACAAATATTTTTAAAATTATCTTAAGATATCTAAATAACCTTGTCTTAAGTCATTGAATTTGTCACGTTAAGTTTACAAACAATAGAATATGTAAAATATCCAAGGTTGAGTAATGCTTAGTTAAAAAGTTAAATAATTTTAACTTAACTTATTGTTAGTTAAATTTTAGACTCTTAACTTTAACTTTATTTAGTTATATTTTATCAGTAACTATAATATATTAACTTTTAATCTAATTTTCTTGAAGTTATATTTTTATAGTACTTTTTGTAAACTCAAAATATTATAAAATACATATCTGCATTGGTATTTTTAAGTTCAAATTTGAGAACGCACATTAAGGCAATTGTTATAATACACTTCTCAACAAAATTAAAGCATCACTTACTCTACCCTCCAAAAATAGGCAAAATTCAAGAGAATGTAACTTCGTCAAAAATGATCGTATCGAGATGTTCAAAAAAGCATTTTACAGCTTGAAATCTCTACTT